AACATTATCTACTACTCTTTCACTGCTTTGGTTCCTGAGGCTGTTGTAATAGTTGCAATAGATATAAAAATAATAATATCCAAGCATATCAGCTTGGGATTTGAGTAAACATTCAAAATAAAAGTGATATTTTCTTTTTTCTAGAAAATGTTAAATCTTGTCTGGCATTACCCATCATTTCACATGGCAGAGTTACTGGTGAACCTAAAGCAGTATTTCAGCATGGTGATCTATTGGAAGTTCATTGTGAGATCTCATTTGCACTATATGGATCAAAAATCATAGAGTGTGTGGATGGTGAATGGGCACCCTTACCCTCATGCATAGGTAAGCAGCAGCTGCCTGAAAAATGTGTTCACAAAAAGAAATATGAGCAGACAGACTTGTAAATGTAACATGGTAGTTTCTTGCACTTATCTGGTGGAGGGGAGGGGGTTGTTGCATGGTGTGTAAACTGGAATCTTCCTTCATAACAGAGTCCAATACATTATTAGTAGAGAGTGGAAGGGGTGAGATTACTTTGCAGTGTTTAAGTAATAAAGTTGTAGAGAAATCAATGTATTCTGATTTATCCTAATAATCTCATGAGTCATGAATATATTCCTGTGCTTAGTGCTAATACCTGAGTCTTTGTTGCTTGCAACAGGAAGTAAAAATTGAGAACTGTCCTTCTCTTTGTAGCATTTCCATGGCTCCATCAGAACAAATGGTAGAATAAGACATTGCTAGAGATAACATATTCGGAAAATTTGGAACAAAGTATTGGAAATAAAATTAATGTGAGCTTAATGTAGCTTCTGTAAATGGTTCACCAATTCATGTTAAAAATACCATTACAGGTTTTGAGACTTGCAAATTTTGCAATATTGCAAATTAAATAATAACTTGACAAAAAACAGCAGCAAGTAATTCAAATACTTAGCAATTACAATATTTAAGTCATGGTAATCAAGTACAAATTGAGAGTTAGCTGGAATGTGGATGTTCCTAGGTATTTGCCTCCTTCATTTGACCAGAACTTTCTGTCAGAGATATTAAAGGCCTTTAACAGAACTGAAAAAAATGACAACAGTCTCTATTTTATTTTTATTGATTGATTAATAATGGAGTTACAATAGGTATATGAAACAGAGGGGCAAATTGTTTGAAGAAGCTAAACTATTAATACCTTTATGTAATAATTCCTTTTTCGGTTGCTTTCAACAGAGGAAGTAAGAACTTGTGGACCACCTCCAACAATTAAAAATGGATTTTTTATGAATGCTGAGTCATCCATATACAGGCATGGTGACACCATGGAATACAGATGCCAACAACAATCTATCATTATTGGGACCAACCCAGCCAAGTGTCTTCATGGGCAGTGGGAAATACCATCATGTGTTGGTAAGCTAGAGGCTGAACCTTCAGAAATGAATTTTAGGCCTGTCTTGGAATATATCAGTATTTATTATTGACATGATTGCTCCAAAATGTGACTCAGTGGAATAACAATGGGAATTGCTGCTAGGAGGTATAGGTTAGATTGAATTGGTTTATGCCAGTATGGTTCAAAGGCACCTTATTTTTCCTGTCTGATCCTGATTTAAAGGGGATTTTCACAGGGTTTATGAAAAAGAAAGATTTTAGTGTTTTTGAAAATGATTCAATGCCAAATATAATCCTGGTGGGATTATGTCTTTACCCTTAGACAAAAAAAATCAAATGAGTAGGTATAGAATAGGTGGCATGTAGCTCAACAGCAGTAACTTTAAGAGGGATCTAGGAGTCTCAGTGGACATCCACTTAAATATGAGCCAGCAGTGAGCTGCAGCTGCCAAAAAAGCCAATGAAGTTCTAGGCTATATCAACAGAGGAATATCATCAAGGTCACATGAAGTATTACTACTGCTCTATACTGCTTTGGTAAGACCACATTTGGAATACTGCATCCAGTTTTGTTACCATGATAAAAAAAAGATGTTGAGACTCTAAAAATGATGTAGAAAAGAGTAGCAAAAATGATTAGGGGGCTGATGGTTAAAACATATGATGAACGGATGCAGGAGCTGGCCATGTCTAATCTAACAAAGAGGACTAGGATTGGCATGACAGGAGTGTCCCAATATTTGAGGGATTGTCACAGAAAAGAGGAGTCAACCTATATTTTTCACTTTTTTTAGTGAACAGTTTTCAAGACAGTCTACCATAGATTAAGATTCCTGTGTTCCTCACAATAGGGGAGATCTATAACTGGTAGCCTTGAAATTGAGAGTGGGAACAGAAAGGAAAGGGATACGATTATCCAGGTTTATTGATTTATTGGTTTGTTCGTTTAACAATCCAACCTGTATGCCACCCACCTCATTAAAGGCAACTCTCTGCCTTATCTATGTTTAATTCGAGGAGCACATCAAATCTAATGTCCTGTATAGCAGAGTAGAAAGAGATGTCTATCATCTGTCAATCAGAATAGATAACAGGGTCTCCCCAAGCATGTGCATCCTCCCGGCCCCACCACAGCTGGCCAGGAGGTTTTGAGAGGAGAAGGAGCGGGAGGAGGAGGAGGGTTGCTCGAAGGGAAGCCTCTGCTGCAATTTCTCAGCCAGCCTGGATTTCCAAAATAAAGAAAGAAAAGGAATAGCCAACAGCCTGAAAGAGAGCTTGCTGGCTTGGCCCAGCCATGGTCTTCCGACATACACACACACACAGAGAGAGGGGGGCAGAGAGACATAGACACACACAGAGTGATACACAGAGAGAG